TGCAGTGCATTTTATGGAGGACTGTTTCCTGATCCTGGCAGAGTAGACTACAATGCCGGCTGTTCTGACTCAAAGACTGTAAGTACGTTTTTTATATATAAAGAATTTGCCACTGATGATTCTTTTTTTCGCGAGTTTTGAGCAGTGTAGAGTAGCGCTTGTTGTTTGTCATTTCTCCAATCACAAATGCAGACATGGTTTTATGTTTTCACGGCACGATGCAACGCGTAAAAAGACGGTATAAGTTATTATAATCCGTAATTATGTCCCCACCGGATGCAACAAATGCCTCATTTATAATGTCTCGTCGCTCTGGCCGGGACACACCATCACAGTATGGTAAGGGACGTAACATTTCCGTCACACGCTTGAGGTATTCAGCCAATCACAATGCACTGGATAGCTGGCCAATCAGAGCACACCTTGCTTTTCAGACCAATGAGCTTTGTAAAAATTTACGCGTTTCAGAAAGGCAGGGCATAGAGGAGAAACAATAATGTACAGTATGTGGGAAATTTTTTTTAACCTTAAACCGCATAAACACATTTCATTACACTAAATACACAAAATAGTGTTCTTTTTAGCAACATCATATGACCCCTTTAAATATAATATAATATAATACAATATAATATAATATAATAAATGCACTGATTAAACCTTAAAAAGATTAAAGCTTCCATTTCATATCTTTATGTACTTTCCAACATTCTTTTTTCTTTATTATTTACTCCCTGACAAATTATGACTTAAACACTTACGTTTTTCCTTATTTCATCCTAATTTGGATGGCAAAATGTGATAGAAATCTATACTACACAATTATCACAGTTATTAGATCACTTAGAAATCTTCATTATTTGAGGTAAAGTTCATTTCTGAAGTTTGACTAAAGGTTAAGAGTTTGTTCAAAAATGATTATGAGCAATAGTAATAATAGTTATGCAAACACCCCTGACAAACTGATAGTATCCCTCATAAAGGTGATTTAACAAGTTTTTCCGGTGTTGTCTCGTGGTTCCCAGAACTAGGTAAGAATTTTGTTAATATTTAAACAAATTCTGGTAATTTTACCATTCAGTTTGGTAACTAACCCACATGCTTTTTAGAAACCGAGCAAACTATACATGCATGCAGTGTTGTGTAAATGCTACAGCTGATCTGAGCGTCAGAACATCTCTGTTGAATTTAACCTGAGGGCAGCAGCTGTTACGAGAGAACTGTCATCAGGCTCGTCCTAAACAAACAGCTGCTTTCAAATGCACAGGAACAACACACGGAAAGGTCTCACGTATGACGGTGGCACTGACAAAAAAGAACAGGAAATCAAATCAGCATCTCCCTGAAGTCATCTTTCAGCTTCGCTGCCACCGTCACACACACTCAATTAAACACAAACCTGCTTACACACTAAGCAAATATACACTTGGAATACAATAAGTAACCATAGAAACCCATTGAAATTGTGAAGATGTCAGCCAGCAGAGCTCTGGTTAAGGGTAATGTTACTGCTGCTGAGGGTTTGGCTTGTTCTCCATCGCTTAAATAAGAGGCAGGCATCCATCCAGCCAGTGGGGGCAGGGGACAACAGAGCGTAATGATGGGTAATATAGAAAAGAGACCGTACTACGCTGCTTAAATGCTGTAAATTAAGCAATATCACTTGTCTCTATGATCTTGAATGGTTTTATTGCGACATGAGACCAAAACAAAATCATAAGTAACATAATGATAAATGCATTGTAATAACATCATAATAATTCTCTAATTTCACAATCCTTCCTTCCTTTACCAGTGTCTATGACTAGCACTAAGACAAATGTTTTATAAAATGGTGCAAAAATTTTAATTTGCATAATCACCCAAACATATTTACAGGTGTGTGACATTTTAAGATACTTACATATTATATAAGTAACCAATGCTACTTGTTGTAATAATAATAAAATTACCATATCACTTTTTTTTTTAGTTAGTTCAAAACAAACCTGAATATTTGAAAGTAGTTTCTTCTTGTATTTTAAATGTCCTAGTCTATCTTTTCCACAATTAGGCTAATTTGCAACAAAGATTTCAAGACTCATCATAAAAGTGGTCCACATGATTTGTGCATTATTTTCAAAGTCTTTTTCTGTCATATGATAGTCTTGTGTTGAGTTACAGACCAAAATTAAAATTAAGTTTTCATTGTCTTCTAGTTAGGCTACATTTAGGTTATTCACTGATATTCCTATCCTCCAATGTGATGTTAACAAATTTTACATATTAAAATGTTTTAGTAAAATATATATTGTTGCATTGGTGTATAGTATTATTAGCATTATTATTCGCCTGTGTTCAGTTAGTGTAAATACCAAACCTGAATTAGTTTAAACTAGACTCCTGCTGTATTTTACTGCTTAAATTAAACATTTTCAATCTATTTGTCTACAATTGCTGTTTGGTCAAAATTACTGAAAAACATTGAGAATGAGAAAAACATTTCATGCAAAAAGGCTTTAAAAAATCTAGATCTAGATTTCAGCTTTAGCTGAAACACAATTATAACCCAGAGATGAATATATTTTGACATCACCAATTAAGCAAGATTTAGGTGGGCCTTCGTCATTCAAGCCCTTATTACTGTACTGTGTACCAACAGCTTCATTTTCTTGGAGCATTAACCAATGAGTCAACCACCACTCATAAAAATATGAAAATGCATCACAGCCTTACACAAACCCAAACTGTTTTCTGCCTCCAACACTTCAAATGTCTTTCTGTGGGAGACACAAAACTTTGCTACTTCAGAACAATTTAGGAAACTGCAGGGGTGGTGCAAACTTCAGCCAATCCCATTAAAGAAAGACAAAGACCTTCCCCTAGAAATTTCTTATCAGATGCACCCTTCACCATGACACTGCATGTTATGCCATCTGTGAACCTTGGACCATTTTCAAGCGATGCATATGTAAGTGCTGTGAGGTCACTGAGGGCAGTCTGCTTTAACAAGGAGTTTTTTTTGGTGTAGAAAAGCAACATTAATACTTTCCATATGCATGGGCCCTAAAATGCTACACAAACCAAGTCCAGATGTGCTGTTTTCTATGTGGGGATGTTGCTGGTAATGTGATGGTGGGCAGCACCCTGGCTCAACCACGTAGGCAACAGCCTGAGAGTGACCAGTGAACAATTATGCAAGATAAACCTTCGCTTTGAGGCGGAGTACCTGTTGAGCCAGCAAATCAAATTGATGGCACATGGAAGTGCATGAGGAAATACTACTTTTAACCTGAAATGCTTGACATTGCATAAGTAAAAGATGAATGATCTGTGGGCTAAAAAAAAACTCCAAAATAACTCAATCTCATGAGAAAATGTAACTCTTTTAGGAGGTGCCAATTTGGTATAAATTCATATAAAGTGATTTAAATAGAAACATCGCATTTTTATGTGTGTGTGTGGGGGGGGGGGGCATGCCAGTCCAGCCTTAAACCTAACCATCATGGAAGATCTGAAAACATATGAATCCGATCATACTAATTAATACGAATGAGCCACCAATTTGCCAAAATCTAAAAGTTTATGACATGCCATGAGAGTGTCGAAAATAAATATAAGATTGTGAAAATATTACATGAATTTAATGAATGTCCTGGTTGATCTTTCAATGTAACGAAATAAATGTAAAGCTTCAAAAAGTACCTAATCTATCTCACCATAAAAGTGTACATAACTTGTGCATTATTCCAAGTCTTCTGATGCTATGGGTTATAGACCCAAGTTTTCCCTGATAGTCTTCTTGCTACATTTAACCAAACATGTTAACCATGACTAAATGCAGATTCCAGAATCTAAAAGTAATTCTTCATTCCTCAATCTTCTCTCAACAATACAGTGGATCAGCTTTGCAAGTAAGGATGACTTGGGATTTAAAACTTTGGAGTCCTTTGGACCTTTTGGGTCATTTTGAGGTGATTTTGCGTCCTTTTAGATGCTTGACATCTTCAGTGACCATTCATTGTCATTAAAAGACACACTAAGACATTCTTCAAAATGTCTCTCTCTTGTGTTTCACTGAAGAAAGTCATAATATTTTTTTATGAGTAAATGATGACAGAATTTCCACTTTTGGATGAAAACTTTTACAACCCTACATTCTGTCATATTTGCTCTCGCGCTGTCTAGTTGTTTTTGAACCCAGAAACATCTCTGCGAACGCCCCCTTAAGTGTCATAAAACGGTAAAATGCTGTAAAACACAGAGATACCTTTAAAAAACGTGTTTTATTTATAGCACGCTTACGTTGTTTCGGAAGTCAAAATTTCGCTTTGAGAGTTTTTCAGAGACATTTCAGAATAATACAAACTTGAGGGGGGAAAACTTAATGACGTAAAAATAATTTAGTAATAGTAATAAATCCATTTATTACACATATAACGTATAAATAAACACGCCTTGTCAGCTGTCATACATTTATGCAACGAACTCACCGATGATTTTTTCCTGATAACCCTTGGTGAAGAACTGCATGGCGGTGGCGGCTCTCCACGGAGTTTTGAGGAGCCCCTGCCGCTGCGGATCTTCCCCGAGCCCCCGGAGAATAGTGGTGTAAGCCGCGGCGATGCTCGGCAGGCTCATTTCATTGTCTTCCAGACTGCGAGTGCGTTCTTCCCGCCAGCTCTCCATCACGCTGGAGGACGGCGCGGTGCTCGGGGTCCCGGCGGCACCACCGGCGCTCCATCCGGGAATCTTCACCCGTCCGTCAAACTTTCCATTAATCGCGGAGTCTGCTTCATTTTCATTTTGATTCATTTGTTTCTGTTTGGAGCGCTCCATGATTGCCTGAAAGTGACAGCTTGGGTTCCTCAAAGTCGGTTTTAGTGCTACTGTGTGTTTTTTGAACACAGTTTAAGGTGTAACGGACAAACTTCAGTGTAGTTCAACGGCTATTATACTCTTGTCAAACTCGGCGCTCTCGCAGGGACAGCCGGGGGTTTTATAAACATTGGCTAATCCGTGCGCGTTTCTATTGGTCGCCGGGCGCATCCGCGTCACGGAGCCAGATTGCTATTGGTCGAGAGACGTGCTTGCGTCAGGCCACCTGTTTCTAGTAAGAGGATGAGCGCTCTTATTCACATTAAAGCGACGTCTTGGGGCAGATCAAACCACCTAAGGGGATTGACTAGACCTTTGGGTGATGTTCTTATGATTAAAAATAAAAGCAGTATTTCTGAAGTGAAATGCACCATGCAACCAAGAGGTTGTACAGCTGGTAACTGGTCAGTCCAGATTAGTTTCATTTCATGTCTGAGTGGTTGCAAAATCAAAGTTCAGTGACCTCGGATGAACATCAGAAAAACGTTCACTTCACATTTGAAGGACGTCCTTCATTTCATCACTGGTGTGCAAGCAACATTGTGTACTTTCAACTGGCCAATTAGCCAAAATAACCTTAAAAATAAAATAAAAAATCAATATTTTATCTTTTATTATGATTATTTGTTTTACATACAGTACAAAACCACACAAAAAATATGTGCAAACCATCCAAAGCATAATAAGAGACCTTTTTATTAACCATCTTGCCACATTGCAAATTGCTTAAAGAGACTTGCATTCATTTCGAATGCTAATGAAGAGAAGCAGGGCTTTCAAAAGAGCTCAAACTTGAGAAAATTTATGGAGAATGAGTGGATCACAAATGAGCAGCCAGAAGGAGAGGTCAGAGAATTACAGTAAATAATGGAAAAAGAGAAAACTTAAAAAATGTTTCCCCCAATCAATATTCAAATAAAATGTAAAAATTACATAAGCATGAAACTAATTTATGTCAAGTACTATTCTTTGTTAAATGCAAACGCAGAAAGTTTAGCCGAAGTATCCAGTGGCTTTTTCTTTTTGGCGCTGCCCTCATCCGACTCCATTTGGTCATTTACTTGTCCTTCATCTTCACGCTTTCGTTTCTTGGGGTCAGAGTCGCCCTTTGCTCTCTCTGTCCAGTTCTGAATGAAAGATAAGATGGATTTATGTACATTCATGCAAAATTACACAAGCAATAAATGGTCAAATAAGCCTGTTATTATAATTAGAATTGACCGACCACCACTGCCGCCAACCCAGATACGTTTGTTCACGGTTCAAATAAACAAAAGCAGCGAACATATACAGACGACCATGATGAGTCATCGGACCCATTTCACATATAAGCACCGGGGCCCTTTCTGCACGTTCCCCACCTCACACTGCACACCATTCATCATTGTATCGCACTCTTTCAGCGCCTGAAGCCACCCCATGTCATTAACATAAGATCAATGAGTGCGGCACACACCCCCAGCCTGGGTTTCCAGAGCAACAGGCGTCCTAACCATTCCCCCTCCAGGCTGGAGTGTGTGAGAAGAGTCATTCTGCCTTGCACTGAGTGGCCCTGTGGGTGCGGGGTCACGAACAGATTGTTCATACAGGAGAGCATGAGTGTTTGGAAAGCCCACAGTGTATGTGTCCATTCACCTCTAGTCTTTTGTACTCCTATAAACGAAATGAACAGTGTTGTCATGGATAAATTGGCTTAGAGCTTTAAGAGTATATTAAAAATAGAGGAAATTGAACTAAGGTGAAAAAAAACAAGTGCATGAATGAAATCTGTTACATAACCATTACACGTGCAAGAAAACAGAAATTCCTAGGTAACCTTCCTGGATTTAATAATAGTCTGAAGACTTTACTTGAGTAATTAGTAAACAATTGTGGATTAAATACGTCACATGCTCCAATAAGAATGAAATGTCTTACCAGTCTTTCCTCTGCTGAAAGAGTGCGGAAACGCCCCATGCCTTGCTTGATAACATCCATTTCTTCAAAGTCAGGATTGTCAGCGAGAATGCTCTTTCTATTATCCTCAAGCCACAGCTGAAAGCCAGTTTTCGGCCTAAAGCAAGTAAATTATAGTTACAGACAAGAAGACTGTAAACAACCACTAAAAAGAATGATCAGTCATCTGCCAATGACTATATAAAATAATGACTGACTATAAATCTAATTTAATTGACCTTTCAGCATGATCACAGTTTCTTCAAAATAATTCATTAAAAATACTAAATTATTTTGCTGGTACAGTGAAATAAATATATACACTATGTAATAAAAACAAATAAAATGTGCACAACTACTGAAATTAAACACGGATCAATCACAAAAAAATATTATATTATCAGAATTGATGTGACGAACTAATATGGGAACACTGTATCATGGCCAATTTCTTTTATTCAAATAACATTTTATATCAAATAACAAATCTTCCTATATTTTATAGTATATGCCTGTATTTCACTTCATATAAAATGTTTGACTGGCACTAACTAGAGCTTAACTAACAGCCTTTGTCTTTGAAAAGTCTGGAACGAGACGCGTAACGGATGGCGAGCGTCACAACGCTGTGAGTCATCATTTCAGCCAGCTCCACGCACCGGAACTCTCGCTCCAGTTTACACGACAGCTGCCGCCACACAAACAGAAAACAAACAGCATACAAAATTATGAGTAGAAGGACAGCTCAAATAAAAACTAATCTGATCACATGTGCCAGCTATGCCAGAAAATGATGCACATTCATCAAAGTGGAGTTTTGATTTATGACATTCCAGAATCATTTTACAGAAATCAGACAGTGAAATTCAATCCAGGCATATGCAACTGAATTTAACCAGTCTTTTTAATTTCCTGTTCTGGCCACGTGACTGACTTACAGCGAACATCTTCATTAGCAGTTCCTGCTGCTCTTTCTCAGCCTGAGACTGACCCTCGCTGTCAATTTCATAACCACTGGATGACAGAAAGCTATAGTGGTTATGAAAAAGCATGGACCGCCAGTATTGCTCCTACAAAACATAAACGGAGCGTTAGTGTCTTATTCAGCTGCACAGTTACAAAAAACAAACAAAACAAAACTCATTTGATAAAGCAAATCAGAAAAGCGATGGACTGCCAAGATAGGGATGGACACATCTGACTTTCAGTGTACGTCAGCAACAATACTACTACATGGAATAAAATAAAAATAAAATAAAATAGCACAAGGGAATAAAAGAGAACATTTCTTCAGATTGATCTCATACCTCCATTTGGCCTTTCTCTGTGGTGGTCTGGCAATAAGGCAGGTTAAAGGGCAGGACGGCCACAGCAGGGCGAGGTAGGGTGGGTGGGAAACGTGACCCTTTACATGGGATACACCTGAGAGAGAGGATGAGGAGTTTCATTGGCTGCTTGGAAATTTCAATTTGGATTGATTTGACATTTGTGAATCAAGGAAAATGAATGCAAGGAGAAAGACGCACCTGAGCTGCTGTGGATTCTCATGAACCCCAACAACCCAGTAATGGTCTGATTTGCTCTTGCAGCTGTCTCTGGTGTTACAGACAGGAGTCCACGTGTTCCCCACGGTCCGGTTCAGCATACGTACAACACCCTCCGAGTCAATACAGCATGGGGTTCCTGGAAAAAAATTAATTATTATAAACCTTCATCTGTCATTTACTAATCAACTAGAAAAAGGAAGAAAAAAAAAAAAAAAAAAAAAAAAAATATATATATATATATAAACCTGTGATATATATATCACAGGTTTGTGGCTTTGAGGCCATATGAGACCCTGGACCACAAAACCTTAAATAGCACGGATATATTTGCAGCAATAGCAACAATACATTGTATGGGTTTTAATTTTTCTTTTAAGCCAAAAATCATTAGGATATTCAGAAAAGATCATGTTCCATAAAGATATTTTGTAAATTTCCTACTGTAAATATATCAAAACCTAATTTTTGATTAGTAATACACATTGCTAAGGACTTCATTTGGACAACTTTCAAGGCGATTTTCTCAATATTTTGATTTGTATGCACCCTCAGATTCCAGATTTTGACCCTTGACTGGTTTTGTGGTCCAGGGTCACATATGTATGCATAAATAACAGTTCAAAAGTGTGTGGTCAGTAAGATTTATTTCATGTTTAAAAAAAAAATAGACATATAATTACAATTTAAAGTAACTTTTCTAACTGAGCACTAATTCCTGTAACTCCTTCCTATGACGGCAAAGCTGAATTTTCAGCAGCCATTACTTTAGTCTTCAGTGTCACATGATTCTTCAAAAATCATTCTTATATGCTTATTTGGTGCTCAAGAAACATTTCTTAGTATTATCAATGCTGAAAACAGATGTGCTGCTTAACATTTTTGTGGAAATTGTAATATTTTTATGAACAGCATTTATTTGAAATAGAAATCTTTTGTAACATTATAAATAGCTTTTCTGGAACTTTTGATCAATTTATGCATCTCTGCTTTAAAAATAAATAAATAAATAAAACGTACTGACCCTAAACTTCTTAACAGTAGTGTACATAGCATGGTGTAACTATCAGGAAATTGAAGTTAATATTACAAAAAATTCTGCAGGCTGTTTTGTTAATTTTTTCATTTCCTATCAAAGAACAGGAAGAGAATACTGTGACTCACCCTCTGCAGTGAAGCCCATCCATGCCAGGTAGGACTTCCGTGAGAGAGGCAATGGTTCTCCATGTATGACCTGTCTTCTCTTGCTCCCAAGCTGGAGCAGCTGTACGCCAAGGGCCTGATCTCCATCAAACCCAGTACCTGATGACACATATGACAAACAGGGTTCCAGACTGCGACCATTTTTTCTGCCTGTGCGACTAAATTCTGTGTGCGGTTGCACTGGCGTGACCACCGCGTTGTTCTACTCATAAGCGCTGCCATTTCTATTGCATATGAGAAACATCAAATGGCAAACGAAACTGAAAGCATAACGAAACCGCAGTACTCATTTGAACTGCGCAGCACTATGAGTGTAGAGCCTGGTTTATACTCACCGTGTCAGCACGAGTGTGAAGGTGCATGTGGGAAAAATGGAGGAAACGATAGATGGTTTTCAAGCTAAAGTAAAGTAAAAGACCGCTTCTTAAACCAGAGAAGGTGAACACATTGGTATTCTTGTGGGAAAAAAAACATGCAAGCACTGTCACCGACAGCAAGTTTCTTTTTGTTTTCATTTTGAAAAGATTGTTATCTTTGCGGTTTACCTCACGTTACGCTGTGAAGGCTCTCTTTTATTTTTTATTTGATTCCTCAGTGTTTGCTAAACGTTCTGTAATTTATTAGTTGGTAGCATGTGGTGTGTGCCATGCCTCATCTTATTCGTTTTTGTTAATAAACGTTTTGTAAGCTAGTTTGTCATTGTATTTTACCGTTTTATTGTTGTTGTGCTTTTTAAAGGGGTCATATGATGCGATTAAAATTTTTCTTTTCTCTTTGAAGTGTTACAAGCTCTTGGTGCATAAAGAAGATCTGTAAAGTTGCAAAGACTAAAGTTTCAAATCCAAAGAGATATTCTTCATAAAAGTTAAGAGTTAACCACGCCTAGCTAAAACGTTTCGTTCTAACACGCCCCCACATGTCTACGTCACGATGTGGGAAGATTTGCATAACTCCGCCCAAATGTTCACGCAAAGAAAGAAGGCGTAACTTTTATTCTCGCTGTAGTATTGTTGCTGCCGCCATGTCGTGAAGACGCTGTGTTTCGTTGTGAAAGTGAAACGACTTTGTTTGGCCTTCCAAAAGAGGACGATATCCGCTTCGTCATGCCTAGAGCTGATCCGTGCTGGTCACGAAGGAAATACATCAACTTCGCGCTGTGGATCGGCAGATCGGCTTTCACCGTGGACGAAGCGGAATCCAGCCCGTGGTAGGTACAGTGGGGCAAAAAAAGTATTTAGTCAGCCACCAATTGTGCAAGTTCTCCCACTTAAAAAGATGAGAGAGGCCTGTAATTTTCATCATAGGTATACCTCAACTATGAGAGACAATATTAGAAAAAAAATCCAGAAAATCACATTGTAGGATTTTTATAATTATGTCCCCACTGGATGCAACAAATGCCTCGTTTATAATGGGTTTTAATGTTTTTGTCTCGTCGCTCCGGCCGGACAGGGCATCACAGTATGGTAGGGGCATAACTTTTCCGTCACAAGCTTGAGGAATTCGGCCAATCAGAGCACACCTCGCTTTTCAGACCGATGAGCTTTGTAAAAATCTACGCGTTTCAGAAAGGCGGGGCATAGAGGAGAAACAATAATGTATAGTATGTGGAAAATAATGTGGGTTTTTTTACCTTAAACCGCATAAGCGCATTTCATTACAGCAAATACACAAAATAATGTTCTTTTTAGCAACTTTGTAAAAATCTACGCGTTTCAGAAAGGCGGGGCATAGAGGAGAAACAATAATGTATAGTATGTGGAAAATAATGTGTTTTTTTTTTACCTTAAACCACATAAGCGCATTTCACTACAGCAAATACACAAAATAATGTTCTTTTTAGCAACATCATATGACCCCTTTAATCAAGAATAACAATGAATCCCTTTTTTGTTTTAGTCTTAAAGTGAAAGGTGTGTAGATGTAAGCAAAACAGACAATTATCTTTTCTTGTAAAACGTGACGATTGCAAATTCGAAAGTGAAAGCACCCCAAGCCTGGCTTATAACACAGCAAAAGAGGAACTCCCGTTCACAAAATTCAAATCACAAATAATACTACTAATGAAAAAGAATGGGTTTCCATATAATTATAAACTATGAAAAAGTTCATTAGGATGCATTGATTAATTCTATGTTGTAGCACAAAAAAAAATTGCGACCAAATTATGTGCTTGTGCGACCAACTGAGAAAGCTAGCCGCAAAAGAGCGACCAGTTGGAAGAATGAGTCTGGAGCCTTGTCAAAACTAAAAAGTTACATATGTCTGAATTGCAAACAAATTATAAGCATTATCATGTAAAAAAAAAAAAAAAAAAAAAACTGATTATACATTTAAGGCTTCTGGTTGTTCAGAACATTGCGCATTGCGTTGAAACCAGTGCTTGTACCGAAAGTAGAGTGGCACGCATCAGTACCTCTGTGATACATGATGAGGAGCTGCTCTCCGTGTCCTGCCATGCAGACAACAGCTCCAGGCAGGCTGAAGATCTCCTTCTGCACTCCACCAATAGAGAACAGCCTGACCATCAGAGCACTTGTGGCCACTGCAGCCCAGCCCTGACCCAAACACAACGCACAAACGTCCTCTCCTTTAGGAAGATCCACTATCCAGTCCTTATGAGTGTCCCAGCATGAGAAATGCAAACACTGGATCTTACTGTTGAGAGAGAGAGAGAGAGAGAGAAAATAGTGAAAAAGAGACATGTACAAAAGGAAAGTAAAGATGTAGATAAATGAACATTCTCTTATTCAGTTCTGGTTGTCGATTAAAGAGCTCTTTAATTTATATCTTTGATATGTCTGTTTTCATATTCTTTCTACATGTAAATATCTTTTTGATTATGTTTAAGGAATTGGTTCATTGAAAAATTACATGAATACAAATCAACAAGTTTCAGGGTATGATTATGTAACAACACATTTCCAAAAATCCATTTGGAATTACATTTCTAAGTGTCCAAAAATCCTCATGATCTGAAATACCACTTCTATGACACCTACTGTAATTTTACTTTTGCAATTTTTAATTCACAGGCAGATCATTTACTACCGGATTTCTACTGGATTAGTAGTTCTGCAAATAAAAATGGAGGCAAAGTGCAAATTTGCTTCATAAACAAGAGCAAGTGGTTGAGGACAAATGGGAGACTACAGAGCAAGGTTCACATCAGCTGCTGCTGACGTAGGGCTGGACGATATGGCCAAAATTTATATCACGATATATTTCTTAATTTCGGTCGATACAATATAATTCCGATATTGATATGAACACTATTAAAAAAGCCTCATAAAAACGGCCAAGAACGGCCACAACAGATGTCTGTACCTACAAACTTATGAAAAATTAATTTGCCAACTCTATGAAACCTACTCCTATAAAAAACTATATAATATTTTAGGAAAACAAATGGCACAAATAAATAAATGTTCACCTTTTATTAATATTTAGCCTTCATACAAACAAGAAATGTGAAATCACTGTCAAATAAATCTCAGACTCTCCTTATTGATATTAATATTTTTTT